AATTTAAATTTGATCTGAATTTAATTAAAATATTCGATTAATTATATTTGATTATAAATATCAATACAAGATTAGTGGATTAGATATGGAATTAAGTAATCTAGTCCAATAAATATTCGAATTCAAAATTTAGTAATATTTTTATTAAATTAATAATATTATATATATAATAAATAAATTCAAACTTGTAGGGACTTAATTATAAAAATTAGAAAATTTAAAGATTAACATAATTGATAAAATAGAGTTTAATAATTTAAATGTAAAAAGTATTATTTTTTTATCGGATTAAATTATTTATTGAATTTGGATATGTTTTAATAGATATAGATCCTGTAAGATCCCAAATCAGATTTAAATAAATAATTAGATTCAGATTTAAATTTACCTAATTTGATTTAAATTTAAATCATTTATAACCTTTTACTCAAAGTACTATGAGCCGACTTGCAAGTCCATATACATTTACTTTCGGATTGTGATTACCATGTGTGGAGATAAAAAGATCACTCAACTCAAACTTAGTCTTAACACTCGAAACTTTTACACTCACTTCCACTCTAGAACCCATAACCCAGTGTATACGAACAAGAAATAAAGCACAAAGAAAATAGAGTATAGCAGGAGGACATGAGAATAATATAAAAGAAAAGTGAGGTGAATTTGATAAAATTTCTCCTTATCAAATTCAAATTCCAGATAGAATTATAAAGGAATGGTCATTCTCTAGATACAACTATAAAAGGTTGCCTTGTAAACATAATTATACACCAAAAAAGGCAAATGGACAATAAATAATCAATATCTGTAATGATAATCCTACAGGATAAGGACCCGGGAGAGCATACAATCAACTGGGAGGGATAGGCGCGCCAAGACGTGCACAGTCTGATTGAGGCGTGCTGAGGCGCGTCTCTTGTTGAGCCACCATCTATGCTTACGTCTCCTTCCCCTACCTCCCTTGTCTTCTTCTGCTTAATCACTGACTACTAACAAACCTGATAGCAGATGCTATCCCAATGTCTTGACCGTTGTTTGACAATTTGCCATGTTATCTTCCCTCCTGTTTTGCCATGACTCTTGTAATCTGTCTGGTCACGCCTAGCGGTGTGGATCCTTCAAAGGCCCCCAGCACCGTTTCCCTTGTTCAATGTCTCCCATTGGAGCGCCCTCATTCGAACCTCTTGCTTCATTTGAACGGGCCTCCTCAGTCAAACATCCCCCTTATTTGAATGACCCTCCTTAATTAGAATGGCAGTCTCCCTCTGTTTTCAAACAACTCAATTGATTGGCTACTTCCAAGGGCAGGACATGACAAGTGGCTAAAACATTTGAAACAAATATTTTACACACACGCACATTAATATTTTTCTATTCAAAGACAAAACTCTGCCTTCCAACCGAATCATACCTTCTATCAATAAGCCTCTATTTCATCGAACATATAAGGGGTATTTGGTACAAGCCATTATAAATTTTAGGATTTTTTTGTGAAAAAAAAAATAAAAGATAAAAAATATTGAAATTCTAAAATGTCTTTTCTTATAGAAAAACTCAGGTATTAACCCCAAAAACCCACAAATGTAATAATCCAAATTTCTTTTAAAATTTTAAAAAAATTCCTTTGTATTAAAGTCATTTTTTCTTTTATTTTCAACAATTTCATTTTTATTTTAATTTTCCAAAATTGTTTCTAAATCATTTAAAATTTTAGTGGATTTTTTTGGTACAAGCCATTATAAATTTTAGGATTTTTTGTGAAAAAAAATAAAAGATAAAAAATATTGAAATTCTAAAATTTCTTTTCTTATAGAAAAACTCAGTTATTAACCCCCAAAACCCACAAATGTAATAATCCAAATTTCTTTTAAACTTTTAAAAAATTTCCTTTGATTAAATTCATTTTTCTTTTATTTTCAACAATTTCATTTTTATTTTGAATTTCTAAAATTGTTTCTAAATCATTTAAAATTTTAGTGGAATTGAATGGCTAGGATTTTTTAGAAAAATTAAGGGCAAAATGGCTTATTTTACATAAAATATTAGGCCAATTTGCTAAATATATGAAATTTGGGACATAGGTGGTATTAATCTAAATGTTCAAGGGCATATTGGTCCTTTCATGATTAGTAAATCAAGTATATATGAATTAAAAGGCAAATGGTAAAATGGCCAAAATACATTGTAGATATTTATGAGCTACTTGTGAGTTTATACTCTTGAAATTGCCTATTAACTAGACGAGTATGAGCCCAAGAAGTTTAGAAGCTGCAAGAGGATAATGTTTCCCATAGTGAGGTGAGCCTCCCAATCTAAATAAGAGAGGTGTAATGACCCTAATTTACTAAAAATTTTTGAATTTTGACTAATAATTAAGTTTAGGGGCTTAATTGCAAGAATTAAAAGAAATTGGGGTCAAATCATAATTTTGAAAAGGAAAAATTGAGGAAATTATAAAGACTGGGGGCTAATTTGAGAAATCAGGAAGTTTAGAATTCAAATTGAAAGAAATAAAAGAGGCAGGGCCAAAAGGTAAAAGGCAGGTAAGTACAAGGACTGAATCTGAAATAGCAAAAGGCTGCAATTGAAAGGAATGAAAATTTGAGGGATTGGACTAAGAGAAGATCAGAAATTTTAGTCCAATAGTGGACTGAACACTATAGCAACCATACCGTGATCATGGTAGCCAATTTTTAGCTAGGTTTGGTGTATTTAGGTGCGTTAGGTGTAGGGGAAACTTTCCCCTCAAACAACTTTTAGATTTGAGCTAGATTAGGAGAGTATTGTTCACTAGTTCAGCTAATTGGTTTTTGGATGATCGAGAGTGATTTTCTGAGATTTTGATGCTGTTTTGGTTGATTTTTTGATTAAAAGCCTTTAATCATTCATCTAGCCTAGTTGTACAACCTTTGACCATTGATCCATCGAGGTATGCCATTAAACCATGAAAATTTTAGTTTTTTTGAGTTCGAGTATTGTGTAACAGAAACCAAGTTGGGAATCGAGTTGTCAAGTGAAGAAGACGGACCTAGATGGTATTGGGGTCTATGCTAAGTTGACTCGACCAACTTGAATCGGCTCATTGAGTCAACTCAACTGGGTTGGGCTCGATGTGGGGCGGGCTAGTTGGACCTAGGCTAGGTTGAGTAGGCTGGGCCAGTAAGTTGGGCTTGGGCTCAACTAGTTGGGCTGAGCTAGTGGGCTTGGGCTACAGTGCTTAGGCTAGCCCAAGTTGTTTGGGTTGGGCTAAGTTCTGAACGAGTCAACTCGGTGAGTTGACTTAGTAGATTAATTCTAGGATATGCTATCCCAAGGGACAAAATAAAGTACAACTAGAATAGGATAATCAGGGATGGAATAAGGTATCTCGGGTTACTGATTTAAGGTAGAAACGGTTCAAGGCCAGTTCAATAGAAACTTTGACTGGTTCATGGTTAGATCGGTTCACAACTCTGGGAGCTTGGTTCATAAGAAAACCAACCGAATCAGTACTATTTAAGCCGGTTTAATGTGTAAATTACTTGGTTTAGCTTGGTTTAAGAGTTTTGAGGTCGGTTTAGTTTTGGTTTTGAGATGTTTATGGCCAGTTCAAGCTATTTTAAGGGAGTTTAAGGCCGGTTTAAGCCTGTTTAATGGCTTTGGAGATCGGTTTATCATGGTTTAAGGATTTTAAGAGAAACAGATGTGTGTTCTTGAGTCGTGTAGGTTTTGAATGATGGGTAATGAACCTTGGGATGCATGCGAGGGTTCTGGAATGGGTTTGGAGCATGTTTTTGGGTAGACAAGTCCTTTCTTGTGTTGGTTTTGATTGTGTGCTTTTATGATTATAAATATGCTGACGATGACTTAGGTTGATCGTTGAGTCGTTTGTGGGAGACTCAGGTTTTTAAACTTGGCCTTATATTGTGAGTAATGATACATTCGTATACATGTATTTTCTAACTGTAATTTATAACACAGATTTTGGTTTTGATGCATAAACTGTATTTTGATATATGCCAAATTTTGAGTTATGTATTGATGTGTTTTGAAATGTCAGTGAACTTTTTGATATTACACATTAATATCAGTATATTGATATATGAACTATATATGTGTACATGTGAAAATGTTTTTTAATTTTATATGTGAAGAGTTGTATCGTGTAATGAGATTGGAGCGTCAAGAGCTTGCATTGAAAGACAGTGATTTTATAGCGTTTAGTAGCGATGCCCTGAGTCCGGTGTGAGTCGTGGTGCCTCAGACATGATGCGCACTGTCGTGAGATAGATATGTGATAAGATTGGAGTGTCAAGAGCTTGCACTGGAGAACGGTGACCAGTAGCGTTTAATGGTGAGTGCTCTGAGTTTGGTGTGAAACTATGGTGTCTTGGGCATGATACGCTTTGCCGTAAAATATGATGATTATGTATGACGAAACTCCTACTTATACGTTTTGATACACATGAACTGCTCATTGTGTATTTATATTACGTTTAGCATGTGATGCAATGTATATCCTAACATAGTTAGAATACATATCATCTGTTATTCACTAAGTTTCACGACTCACACTCTTATATCTTTCCAAATCAAGCTGCCTTTCCATATTCCAACTAGAGTTGGTGTGGGAACTAGTTCTTACCGATTCGATAGATTTACTAGCATGTTTCATATTGTATTCATTTTCGTACTCTAATCTGCTCCTTTACTTTTTTCAAACAAGGCTTTGGCTTTGTATGAGATGATGGTTATGTATTTTATATTTTGGGTTGTAACTAATACTGTGTGGCATATATGGTCGTGAGGTTAACTAGAGTTTGGTAGACCCTAGTGCTGTTCTTGGAATGTGATAGGAGGAATATTTTGATTGGACCAACTTGGAAACTTCACTAGCTTTAGTAGAACTATGTCCTGATTTGATAGTTTGATTGTATGCAAGGAGGTTAAAACAATTAACACTCGACCTTATTGCCATATCACCTCCATATCGTTCCACCATGACTTTGTGATTAAATGTGTTAATAGTCTAGTACAAATTTGTGACAATTCCATGCTTCCTTTCCCAGAGATGAGTCCAAACCACTCATCTTGACCCAAAGAATCCGAATAGAAGTTGTTCCAAAAGGTGAGTATCTCACCTGCAAAGCAAAGCTTTCCAAAGCTTCTTGCGCGCTGCCTTCCCAGGCAACTGCTTCACCTGAGGACTTGTATCAAGACCCATCAGTTTGTTCCAGAACATTTTGTCGGGATTAAACTGCCCCAGACTGAGTTGGACAATCTAATATAATATACTTTACCTAATACTTTTAACTTGACCTCTTACTTCATAGATCAAGAAACCAAACCACACCAGTTATCTGATTCGGTCCAAATCATAGGAAGATCAGCAAACGATTTTTACTCCTGTCCCAAAGCAACACTATGAGAAACTGTTTTCAGCAAACAAGAAATTTATACAAACTCCATCTTAAAGATTGGCATCTCCCTTAGTGCCACTAACAATTTTATATTAATGTTCTAGTTCAAAAACGATACAAATACACCACCAAAAAATAAAATAAACAAAATAAAACATGAGAAAGGTCTTCAAGTGAAAAGGAACCTTCTTATTGTCTAATCATTAATAACAAAGCCACTAATATACTCAAGTCAAGATAAGTGACTTTTGAAAGTCTAAATTACAGTAGGAGGCCATCAATATTGCGTCTCCCTTCCGGACCCTTGTATACCATGATGAGACATAATCACCATACATAACCTGGCGGTATCGTGGAGGAGAAGAGTCACTGATGAGCTCTGAAGCTGGGGATATAGTCCTCGTCTTTGCAGATCATGAAATGTGGCAACTGAGAGTCTCGCCTTGTTAGAGTTTGTTATAGCCCGATGCACAGCGCTTTTACATTTTCCATTTGTTATAATCTCAGTTTGGTCAGCCAAAATGACAACAATGGCTTCAGATAAAGGATTAATATTTACCCACTCACCATCCTTGAGAACCTGGAGGCCGCTAACGTCATCTTGAATGAGGAGGGTAATGGCACCTATGTCCGAATGTGCTTGCAAACCTAGGGTGAGTTCAGGTTGTGGGCAAGGTGGGTAATAGCTAACTGTTATGTTCTGGTAAAAATCTTCAACAGCCTCTTCAATCAGTGAAGAAGGAAGGCATAAACTCTCTGAAATCAGTTTCAAGAGCCTCTGAGAAAGGGCCTTCATATGATCGCTGTACTCCAATACAACGTCTCTGTAATTAGGGGGAAAGTTAGGCCAGCGTGAGGGGTTGCGGCGTGAGAGTGGTAGAGTGTGATGATCAAAGTAATCCCTCCAGTCCAGGACAGTGTCATTGGAAGAGACTAACATGCGGCTTCCATAGCCTTCAGAAGCAAAAGAATTGGGTTCACAGCAGTATTTCAGCTTCTCAGTCACGGGACAGTCCTCAAAGAAAGTGATGCCAATTCTCCTCATGTCATCCAGCAATTGGATTGGAACACCATGGTTTATTACCTGAAACGCACCCCATTCTTGGCAGGCTTGTCCCAACACTCTATGGACCTCACTCGTGGAGCCACTGATATCGACTAGTGGAATACCTTTATCAGAAGTCCGGTGATTGGGCAAGGTAAGACACTGGGACGGCAATTTGGAGGTTGTATGTATTCAGGTTGCACTTTTGTCGCACCACTTTGGGCTAGGGATTGGACTCTAATTTGATTCCCAGCAACTTCCATTCAGATTTTGATTCAGATTTTAACTGGTAAATTAATTCTACTCAACCTGTCACTCCAACTTTGCCAAGGAGGGTAAATTATGTCAATTGAGCAGCAAGATGATGCCTGGTCAAACAGGACCAAGCAAATGATGAAACTGAAACTCTAACTGCCACTAGCCACTGAAAGAAGTTTCATTAACTTTCAAGTTCAATAATTCAATAATATTAAAAATGGAAGAAAAAAAATCACCTTTGATGAAAATCCCGAAGAAGAAAAACTTCCCTGGGTAAAACAGTTTCTCGTCCCTTGATTCAGAAAAGCCTGCAAATGAATATATACATCTCTCTTAAAACTGCCAATATTTACACCTTCAACTAGTAGCAAACTTTAGACCATATATATAAATATATATATATATATAAGCAAATTCTGTGCAGTACTTTTAACAAGATGAAATTGTGGAAATTGCCACCACAAAACTAAATTCTTCAGTATTTACTCAAGGCAGATTTATATCAACTGATCAAAATACAATATTAAAATATTTCACTTACAGAACACCCTCTTCAATGTCAGATGGTCTGTCAGAATCACCCAGATGGGCATAAACTAGCTGATTAGTTAACATTGAACACAAGTTGAAGAGTAGGTCTTTCTTCTATTATCCTTCAGAAATGAAACGCTTCATGGACTATATAGGTTAGCACCAGCCATTTTGGCGTTTGTAACATTTAAAACATTTTATATATTTCAGTTTAGTTCAGGTATTTTGATAAATCCTATGCAATAAGGCTTAAATGTAATGACAAGGTTCATAAATATTCCACTTCTTTGTTTTCGAAAATATTTGATGCTGCCAGGAAAGAATCTTGATTCGACTAAGAAGAAGCGACCATAAACTTGAATTGAGAAATACTGTGCCAAACTCCAGCAATGTTGTCATACACGAGAATTTGGGAACATTAACGAACATGCTTGTGCCAATCCCACTAACAAACATCCCAAGAAATATTTAATTATAGATCTTTGCATAATAACATGAATATTGTACACTCTACGAGTATGCATTATGCCAATTAACAATATCCCGAGAATATCAATTGCTTCATCCTTAGTACCATTTCCACCATGCGAACTAAAAAAAAAGTGTTAATGAAGATATTTAGTTGTTTGTGGTCGTAGGTTTTTCCCTCTGAACTCTTGACATGAATAATTTTAAAGGGATATACAGAGTTAATGATTTTATCTTTCTTTGGAACATCTAAATTCAGAGGACTTTGAAGACTTATTATCTCTTTGGGTGTTCGCATCTGAATCACCATCCTTAATTTGATGCAAACCCAACACTACCAAATCAGTTTGACAACACCCATCAACTTCTTTAGTTATTCCGTTTTAGCATTCATTGCCTCTTATAATCATGCAAGTCCAACTTTTTTCTCACTTGATTAAACACAATACTCCAAGAACACCCAAACTTCCTTGTACACTGTTGCTGACTCTGCAGTTCATCACTCTGATACAAATTCTAATGTCATCGCCAGAGAATTTACGAAAATAAAAGGAATAGGGATTGATTAAATAGCTAATAGAGATGATAAAAATAAGAGGTAGACAAGGAGATAGAAGGGTGTAATAGAAGAGATTCAGAGTATGAAAGAATTTCCTTTGGCGAAAAATACTCATTCCCCACAGAAGGGCTAATACAAATATTTCAGTGCAATGAAACACCTTCCATCTGGACATCACTAAAGAACTAGCATAGTAACAACAATCAGATTTCAATATTAGGACTGTTACACATTTCATTTTCTTTTTCTTCACAACACTGCGGATCCATGTGCATTGAAAGGGGCCGTGTGTCCCCCTCCCCCCCAAACCAATTTAAAAAATTTGTAACAATATAATATAATTAGTATATAAATATGATTCCCCACCCCCTCCCCCCGGGCAGAAATAAAAATTTGCAGCCTCTACTTGAGAAAATGATTTAAATGAATAAATTAAAAATTTAGAGATAAAATTAAAATAGAGAAAATCAAGAATAGTAATTAAAAGTTTATAATAAAAGAACAATAATGTTTAAGCACTATTTTAAAATTTTTAAAATGGATTAACATGTAAAACTATAGAAATAATTATACTAAAATGGTAACAATCTCTTGTTTTATTTGTAAGCCTGTCCATCCTTCTATCATTTCACGTGTCTATCCTTTTCTATTACCATAAAACAAAATTTGTCAAAAGTAAAATTAAAGTAATCATTAGTCAAGATTTTTTAATTTTAAAATAAACAAAGTAGTATTTTAATTTATAATTTTTTTGAGAAATGTAAAATATTATATTTTCCCAACTTTCCGGTGTTCTGTTTGTATTATATTCTAATATTAGTAGATTTTATTAAATTTTTAGTATTGTAAGACAGTTGACTCGTGCACAATGATATATACTTTTAGGATATTCAAAGTGAAAGTGGACAGGACATACCAGAATCGTTCAAAAGGGTGCTGAAGAAGCGATTGCCACGCTAATGATTCCAGAGATAGATAACAGCTAGGATTAAAGAAATAGGAGAGGGAACGGATTTGTACCAGACAATTTGTGTTGACAGGGCAAATTGAGTATGGGAGCACTGATCTACTTCGTATGCAGTCAGAATGCGCCACAGCATTGGCGGACTTGGGATCGGTGGGCGGTAAGCCGGCAAAGGATGTGGATAAGCTTACTGTCGGTGGTTTCTTAGGCCAAGCCGTCGCAGTATTAAATAGGCTTTTGCATATTAATATTTATATTTTTTTAAATTTATTGAAATACGGTGTTTGGAAAATATATTCAGAAAGGTGATTTTTCTGGACTATAAGAAAGTGAGTTCTGTCAGAACTAACTTCACAGCATATTTTTTCTTTACGTTTTAATAAATAATTAGAGAAAAAGTTTTGCCATATCTGACTTTTTTATTTTTTAAATAATTGAAAAGTCGGTTTTAGTAAAATCACCTTTCTGATATTTTTTTTAATTTTTTGTTAAATAACTAGAAATTAGTTTCACTGATACCAACTTTCTAACATTTTTTTAATAAATAATAATTAGCGAATTTATTCCAATAGAACCAACTTTTTAACATATTTTTTCCTAACTTCTTGTAGAATAGCTGGGAAATCGGTTTCAATACATCATGCCAAAGCCGACTTCCTAATTATTTTTTTTAAAAAAAATGGATAAAAACTATTGAAAAGTGGGTTTAGACCATGAGAAATCAGTTCAAGTGGAACAGACCTTTCATGGTTCCGTTCTATTTTATTTTATAATTTTAATTTAATTCAATTAAAAATTTTATTTTGTTTTTTTATATTTTTAAATAATTTTAAATATAAAATATAATTTATAAATAAATTAAATTTGTAATTTATAAATAAAATTTTGAATTATAAAATATAAAGAATTTTATCTTTACTCAATTTATGTGCACCGAACCCTACGATAGTTAATTGAATTTCTTTTTACTTTATTTTATATTTGAATGTGGTGAGTTGTTTTGATTTGTGAAACATATGTTTGTATAAGTCCAAAAATTCGTACACATTGAGATGAGAAATTATTTCTCGTCCATTAAATCACTTATTTTGCACTCGTACTTAGTCATATATAAATCAAAATTTGAGATTTTGATCTTGACGAGTACATTGTGGGTGAATTTTGATCATATTTCTAGTTTGATAGATTGCAGATTTGAATGGAGGTAAATTCTTGAGATACGACTTTTAGCATGGGTGTTGAAAATAAAATTACAAGACACTCCCATTTTACATTTAGTACAACCATTCCTGCTGTTGAGTCTGGCGGCCTACCGTCGTAATAGCGAACTCCTTTTTCCCTCTCCCTTTACCAAACCATTCAAACGTTAGGCAGATTGCCGACTCTTAATTCTTGTTTGTTTTCTAGTTTTTTTAGTTTTTTCCTTTTAATGTCATTAAAGAGAGAGAAGTTCATTATTAATTCCTTTTGAAGTACAATTTGTTAGTAATACATTATAAAAAATAATTGAAAAAATATTAGACTTGGTGAAATCTGTCATGGCTAGTTGTTTATGTTTAGGGAGCAGGAGGTCTGTCATGGTTAATTGTTTATGGGAATGCAGGATATCTAGAGGGAATTGGTAGGAAGGAGAATCTTCTTTCTAATTAAAGTTGGCATTATTTATTAAGTCAAAATATAATTGTGAAAACCCTAGTTTTCTTTTTATAATTTTGGGGAATTTTAAATTAATGGGCTCAAGGGCATGTTGAAACAAATCAAAAGAACTATGAGTGTTTTTGTAAAATCTAAAAAGTTTTGGGGGGCAAATTCAGAAATTTTTGGACGCATTTGGGAGAATTTAAAGAAGGGAGGTTCGGAGTGGAAGGGTGAATAAGTTTGAGGACCAATCTAGAAATTAGGGGGAGCTAACTGAAAGAAAACAACTTTTGTAGGCCGGATTGTGACAAGGGAGAGGACTTGCGGCCGGAACCTGGCCGAAGGTCCTCGAAGCAAAATTGCTCCAATAGCAGCATGGTAACTCACCCAAAGCCATGGATAATTGTGTGAAAAAGGAAAACAAGTGGGAAGGTGTGTTCAAATTGGAGATTTGAGTGAGTTAGAGAGGGGAATGGAGCTGGGGAAGGCCAGCGGCACCGGACAGATTTTCTGGAAAATTCTTAAAGTTTCAGTTGAAATTTCTCCGATTAAAGCCTAATAAGGAGCTTGAAGATCACAGAATTTTGATTAGTAGCCCTTAAATTAGCTGGGTAAGTTGAATTTTTGCAAGAATTTTTGGTTTAAGGGGCGTTTGGGGGTTGCAGGAACCCGGGTATGCGACCCAAGTTTCCGAGTGAAGATGACAAACCCGGATGGCATCCAGGTCTGTACTGGGTTAATTGGGCCGGTTCGGCCCGCTGGGCTAGAACCGGTCAATTAAGGGCCTAGCCCGGCTCAAACTGAAAAGGTTGGATCGGTTCCTAATCCAGCAGAAAAAGGAGAAG